TGTGTTCAGCCCACAGCGGGTTGACACCAGCAGATGTGGAACCCAAGGATATGGTCAGCTGACTGTATTTGAATAACATGGCTGATTTCTTTTTCTTTTTTTTTTAAGAATTATTTAACTTACTATTTTAATATCTCCAGAAAGAGAGAGACACAGAGAGACAGAGATGGAGAGAAAGTGAGAAAGCAAGCCTCTAGGTCTAGGACTCAAACCACAATCAGCCATATGGGAGTCCAGTGTCCTCAACCACATGCCACCTGCCTGCCCCACAGCTGATTTATTAAAAAACAAAATTAAGAAACATACCCCACCCCCCTTCCAACCTGAGCCCCCAAATCACCAGCACGGCACTGCCCTGTACTAGGTGGACCAGTGTCGTCCCCCCCTGCCCCCCGAATTCATGTCCGTGTGGAATGTGACTTTTAGATGAAGTCTCTCTGGGTGGGAATGGCCCCAAGGTCAATGGATAGAGTGCTCATCATGTCAAGACACAGACATGGAGTGAAGGTGGCCGTGGGACAAGAGAGGCAGAGATGGGAGTGATAAGGCTACTGCTCATGGACCTAGAGGACTGCCAGGTGACACTGGAAGCTGGATGGCGCAGGAAGGGATCTGTAAGAGCCTTCGAAGGAAGCTTCAGCTCTGCAGACACCCTGAGTTAGACTCCCGCCTCCAGAACTGAATGAGGACATGTTTCTGTTGTAAGCCACACTGTTTACTTGTTTACTCCAGCTGTGAGAAGCCAACACAAACCTGGGGCTCTGGCTGGGCGCATCATAACGAGGCCTCCTGGGGGCCGATAAACAGGCAGAATAATCTTCTGCTCCTCTTAGTTCTTATTTAATTTTCTCACAACTGAACAGTTCGGGGCATGGTAGTTGAAGTGCTGGCCTCCCACACGGCTGACCATGGCTCAAGTCCTTGATCCAGTGGTTTGAAAATCACAGTAAGGACATGCCTGCGCATGCATGCCCAAAGTCCTGAGAGGAGGATGGAGAAGGGATTGTAGCATGACCATCCCCCCTGGAGGGGTGATTTCTCACTTTCTATCTCTGGTGTGTGCATGCACCCTATGACAAAAACCTATAAAAACAAAACAAAAAAGCAAACTTAACAATTTAATTATGAACATACTTCATGTTTGCAAAGCATTCCACAACTGATTATTGTTCGTTTTCCCCCAAAGAGTCAGCAAACAGAATTCCAGGTTAGTTTAACTAGCCCGCCTATGTGGACGTGAGAAAGGGAGTGATTGGGAAGGCCCTTGCATTAGTCAGGCCTGGAGAGGAATGCGGACTGAGCTCGGCCAGTGGGCAGAGCCAACTCGCACTCCAGCCTGGGCGCAGTCGGCCGCCATCACAGAGACCACCTTGGAGCTGTCTGTGCCTGGACAGGAACACTGCCATGACTGTTCTCTTCTGTAACTGCTCTCCTTCCTGTCTTTCCTTTGTTCCCTTCCCTTTGAGGTGTTAAAGGACACCGCAGATTTTGCCATTCGGGGCACTGGTTACAGGTTCCTGAGGCCTCTGCACCACCCAAGTGTATCCTCAAGCTCTGGCCTGAACAAACCTTTCCTGCTGCTTGACAAGCTGGGTCAAACCTCCTTTCTTCAGGCTGACGAATGGACTGAAATGCAGTTTACTAACTCCACCTGTTCGTACTCCAGAAGGCTTTTAAACTCGACAGCCGGCGTGAAATTTCTAGTTACGACCTGAACATACCCCACACCCCCACTTCCTCTGAGCTCCAAAATCACCAGCACCTCCCTGCCTGCTTGGCGTGACCCAGCCGGTGGGCCTGACCTGTGGCAAGATGACTTTCTTCAGCTGCTCCGGAGTGAAGTGGCCCACGTAGGCCTCGATGTGAGACAGCAGCACCAGCCGCACGTGTTCCTCGTGGACCTCGAACAGCCGCAGCAGCTCAGGGATCACCCGGGCCTGGAACAGGGCTGGCGAGAGCAAGCATGTGGCTTCTCCCCCAGGTGCTGTATCTGCCCCAAACCAGAGAGGGTCAGGATGAATGACAGCTGCCAGGGCAGTGGGGAAAGGCCAAAGCACAGCTGAGACAACGCAGGGCTCTCTGTACTGAGACGCTTCCTCACCCTTCTGCCCTGAGCCAAGGGGACATCTCTTGTGCTGACCCTGAGGACAGGGTTCTGACTGCTCTTCCTATTGTAAGGTCCGTCCCGAGGGGACCATGGGGTCTCGTCGACAGTCTTGCTCTAACAGACTACTTTGGTCCAGGGACATTGGGACGCTCCCTATCCCGACCCTGGCGGCACGCTGTGAGATCTATGGTGAAGTGAAGCCTTCCCGTTCCTGCTAAACTAAGGCACTCTTTTCTGCAGACTCTGAACTCTGAATCATTTGGAGAAAAGATCTGAGCTTTTAACCAATTAAGGATTTCTAAATCCACCTAAATAACCTGTAAACCCTGCTTCTGGGTATCCCGCCTTCCTGGGCCAGGCCAGTATGAAAAAGTCTTACTCTGACCATTTTGCTTGTATCTGCATTAAAAAAAGATACCCTATGAGAGCTCATTCATTTATCCCTCAGAGTTTTCTGCTGCTGGGACCAGCAGTTAGCATGATGGCTATGTCACTGGACTCCCACCATGTAGTCGACCGCAGTTCGAGTCCCGGACCCAGTGGCTTAAACTCACGCCGGGCGCATGTGCGTGCGTGCCCAGGATCCCAAGAGGAGAATGGAGGAGAAGGGACTATGGCGTGTCCATCCCCCTTGGGGGTGATTTCTTGCTTTCTGTCTCTGTCTTTCCGGCGAGCGCACGCACCCTATAGCAAAAACCTCTCAAAAAAAAATTACCTTGGTGCTTTTCAATCCTTTCACCAAAAACAAAAAACATATGGGTTGCACTTGTGAGGAGGCAATGCCCAAATGGCTCAGGGCAAGAGCACAGATTCTTTGGTGCTTTTCAATCCTTTCACCAAAAACAAAAACACATGGGTTGCACTTGTAAGTGAGGAGGCACTGCCCAAATGGCTCAGGGCAAGAGCAGAGATTCTTTAAGGATGTGAGTTTCACATGCGCAGAGAAAAGCCTGTGCTGCAGGAGGGAGGATGCTGCAGGAGACACCCACATCCATCCTATGGGCCTGGGTGCCCAGGTTCAGGGTAGGGTTACCACATCAGGGACCGGTAACTGTCCCCCATTGTTAGATCCAAGCTTTTTTGTCTTCTTATTGCCAGAGGGTGCGTGTGCTCCCCAGTGGGGCGTGGTCATGTTGCAATTCCTTCTCCATTTCTCCATCCTCTTGGGATTTGGAGGATGCACGCATCAGGCCTAGTATGGTTTGTAAGTTTCCAGGGTTGGGATTCGAACTGCAGCTGGCTATATGAGATCTGGCACTCTTAACCACCAGGCTACGGGGCTGGCTCTAGATCCAAGCATTAACTACACAATACACTACCCCTGCCCAAATATGGACTAAGAGTCACCAAACTCCTTAATTACCAATAATAATTTGAAAAAAAAAAATTCACCTTTTTTGGGGCCAAGCAGATGAGGAAGGAAATTCTTAACGGCTACCGGCTCTGCAAACACCAGCTGGTTGAGCAGAAGTGGCACCAGCCTGGAAGCGATTAGCTCCTCGGACAGGCAGCTGACTCTGTCCAGCAGGAACCTACGGACACAGGAGCAAAGTGGTAATGGGCTGAGGCGTGTGCTGTCACACGGGGGGCAGGGCTGGCTCACTCCTGCCTGGGTGGCCAGGAAGAAACTGGTGCTGCCAAGTATGTGAGACATGCACGCCTCCTGCCAGCAAGGCTGTGGCAGACGCCCTCCTCAACACAGATTGGCCTCTCCCTAGCAGGCCAGAGGCCTCCCAGGTGACTGGCGCGGGAAGCCAGCATGCAGACAGCAGGCCTCAGTGGGCAGCCCCTGTAAGAGAGCCCTCACTAGGCTAAAACGACTTACGTCACAGCACTCTGGGGAGGCACAGACACCAGTATTAGCAGTAGTGATACCTGCTGTGCCTCCGGCTCGCCTGGAAACCGTCACCTCTGTTTCCTTCCCTGTAATGCCTCCCACCTGGCCACGGCCCAGTACTCCCCCTCCTGTGGGAACCACACCAGGCCACCAGACACCCCCGCAGTCCACCTCCTGCAGTCCACCAGTCCCTTCCTGCCATGGTCCTGCCTCCTCCAGCCAACCCCCCTGCCCTGGAGCAACATGTCCTCTCCTCTGCGACACGGCGGGGCTCCCAGGTCTAGGTCTTGCCTGTTGCCTCTCCCACTGCAGCCCTACTCAGCCCAAGCCAGCCTGTTAGGATAGCTAGTCTGCTGGTTCAGGACGCCACAGCCCGCTGGCTCTCTGTGACCTGGCATTGTCTGACTTATCCTTCCCACTGGCCCCTCACAAGGCTGGGGCCCCAGGGTTACAATGGGCACCTACTGCCCTGTTCATGCCACCCATACTCTGGGAAAATGTCACCAAGCACAGGCTGAGGACACCTCAGCTCATGAGCATAGCCTTGTGAGGCCAGCTGCGCACACACTGCTGTTGCACCCCAACACTCCTGCCTGCGTGCCCAGGCTGCAGGCACATGCCCTGCACCTGCAGCCTCCCTTCCTGGGACTGCCAACTTCCTCGGCAATGGCGATGCCCACACCCACGCCCTTACACAAGGCCTCGCATCTCCTACCAGGGCCTACTGCCCTCCCAGACAACAGGGTGATCCCCCAGAGGGAGGTGAAACTGCTTCCCACCTGCGTTTATCCCAATGGCTCCACAGCCTTAAGTCCACTGTTCACTCGTGGCGTCAACACCGCTCACGGCCACACAGGACCAGGTCATCCTCCTGTCCTGGTCTTGCAGGGTGCCCTTCCAGGACTCGGCCGCCCTCCACCTGCCACCATGCACTGTCGCTGCGG